TGTCCTGACTAAGCAATATTTTTGCAATTTTCACAGAAAGTGCATTAATAACAAAAAAAGAAAAAAATTTTTGTGTTTGTTACTTTTAAAAGGCATCCCAATTCTCAAAAAATGCCATCCAATATTATTTTTAGGATTTCCGAGTCAGTTCGGCTAAAAATTTTTTGCCTGGGTTTTCAGGACCCCCAGCGCAGATTTTTACGGAAAATCAAGCATTTCTGTGGGCAGTAGCTGTTAAACCTGTCCAAAGCTCATCCAGAACTTTTTGTCACCCAAAATTTTAAATTAGATCTTTTTAATTCAGTAGCGCCCATCTTGACTTTCTCAGCAATGACGATGGCAACAACTTTACATTCCCCGAGCTATTTCGATACTAGCTTAAACTCATTTTTCTCGGGCTCAACGGAAAATTGGAGACTGTGCTTGTCCTCTGGATATCTAGCGTATACTTTGATCAACTGTAGTTCGTAGGCCTGGTTCTCCACTTATGAACTGGACCACTGTCCATTGCCCTGTGGTCAGCCTGCTAGCGATCCTGATGTTCGTTTCGCCTCTTAAACAAATTACTGGCTTAACGGTTCTTCCAATAGAAATGCTTGTTAGAACTTCATCCGTTTCGAGATGCCCTTGATGTGCATGTTATTCATCACCATCTCGTTTCGAACGTTATCATTCCAGACATCGATAACCCTCTCCCCACCCTTTCCCCCTCTTACTCCTTTCCCATTGATCAAGCTCTGTCACGTTTGAGGATGGAGCATGGATTTTTGCTACTACGTGCTGTCGCGTAACACCAAAAGTCCATGTTCCATCCACAAAAATTTAATGTACTGAAGCAGGTATACAACGGCTAAAAGTGGCATGTATGTAGGTTAAAAAATCTGTAGATAATTAGCTACGGTCAAAGATGAGACCTTTGCGCGTAGTGACAAAAGGACCTGTTGCTCAATGACCAAACGACGAGGATCGTTCGGTGAGCTGTCCAGTTCTCCATAATGCGGTGGTTCCACTTTTACTGCTACTGTTCGCCTACGGCGTTTGTCGAACCCTCTGAATTATGT